ACCTCTTCTCCTTCCATCCCATTAGCCAGAACTTACTCACACGGCTTCACCTAGAGTGATCTGTGGGATTTCTGAGTGGAGTGGTTCATGAGTAGTGGTCCACACGTCTGGGGCTTTGGGGAGAGGACTAAGTTGGAGACTCATCAACATAGAGGTGGCAGCTTAGGTCATGGGTGGATTCCCCAAGAAGAGTGTGCACAGTGAGAACAGAACTCCAGTGACGCCTGGAAGCAACAATGGGCAGAGGAGGTGAAATCCGCCATGGAGAGAAATAAGGCGAGCATGGCATCAAGGAGAAAAATTTTCAGTCAATAGTGTTCAGTGGTAAAAGTCAGGCTACTTAGGAGTGATGTCATGGAAAATGGCAGACCAGGGGCTCCAAGAATCAGTACCTCCACTTAAGCAACCATTAAGCTGATAAAATCTGACAGAATCAGCTTTTCTGGAACCCTGGAATCTAATAAAAAAAAAAAAACCTTAGAGCAACCAGGGGAATGACTCATGAAGAAAGAGGCTGTTATTTCAGTAAGAAATTGTTGCAGCATTTTTGCTTACCCACCCACCATCTCCCATTCCCCAGCCCAGCAGCAGCCAGGGGGACAACAGCCTGAATCCCTGCTGTGGCTTGCTGATGCCAAGGTGGGCAATACAGACCTTGTTCTCAAAAATGTGGCTGTACATTTTGGCCCAGCTGGCAGGTCCGTGAGGGTGCAGAGGCTGACATTTGCTTCACCCCCCTCAGACTAGAGCAGCTTCCCAGGTGGCATCTTTTGAAAGGATTTAAAGACATACAGTACCCACAGTTGTCTGGGGCAAGGGGCGGCAGATGGGGTTAAGCAGCAGACAAACCAAAAAGCCTGCAAAGGGGAAGGCTGAGGAGGAAGATACTGGAAGAACAAGGGCTTTGAAGGGCTACTTCTTATATCAGGAAATCCAGACTACAACACACATGTCCAGGGCCAGACACATGCTCAGAAAAGACCTGAGAGGACCCTAGGCTTGCACTTTTGGCTAATCTTCCATGCAAGCAGGAAACAAAGACTAAGGCAGAGTTGCAGGTGGCCTGGTTAAGTGCAGCAGGAGAACCCAGCTCAGGGCCAATCTACAAAGACCAGGAGAGGTTTCTTCTAATTTGGGGCGGGGTGGGGGTGAACTCCAGGTATTTAAGGAAATCGGTGTCAAGTCAGTGGCTGACCAATGAGATAATGGAACAGAGACCTCAGTGACTACACATGATTGGAATACAGTCTGCACGTGGAAGCAACCTAAATGTGCATCTACAGAGGAATGGATAAAGAAGATGTGGTACATATATACAATGGAATATTACTCAGCCATAAAAAGAATGAAATAATGCCATCTGCAGCAACATGGATGGACCTAGAGATTATCATACTAAGTGACGTCAGTCAGACAGAAAGACAAATATCATATGATATCACTGATATGTGGAATTTTAAAAGATGATACAAATGAGCTTATTTACAAAACAGAAACAGACTCACAGACTTCGAAAACAAACTTATGGTTACCAAAGGGGAAAGGGGACAAATTAGGAGTTTGAGATGAACAGATACACACTACTATATATAAAATAGATAATAAACAAGGACCTACTGTATAGCACAGGGAACTATACTCAATATTCTTCAATAACCTATATGGGAAAAGAATCTGAAAAAGAGTGGATATATGTATATGTATAACTGAATCACTTTGCTGTACACCTGAAACTAACACAACATTGTAAATCAACTATACCCCAATATAAAATAAAAATTAAATTAAAAAAAGGAATACAGTCTGCAAACATAGTTTGGAAATGTCACTAAACAAATGGATGATTGTAACCCTTAACAAGCAATAACGGCAAACCTTGCCAAGGGGTACAGAATCTGATTTCCAGAGCTGCCACAATATTCAAATTGTCTAGTTGTCAACAAAAAATTACAAGGCATACAAAGAAAAAGTATGACTCATTCACAGGAAAAAGAATTTGGCAGAAACCATCTCCGAGGAAGCCCAGAAATTGGACTTGCTAAGACAAAGACTTCAGATGAACTGTCTTAAATATGCTCAAATAGCTCAAGGAAACTGTGGACATAGAACTAAAGGAAACCAGAGAACAATCAATGTATAAACGAATAGAAGAGATCAATGAAGAGACAGAACGTATAAAAAGGAACCAAACAGAAATAATTCTGGAGCTGAAATGTACAATAACTAAAATGAAAAATTTGAAAAGCTCAATAAAATTGACAAACTTTTAGCTAGACTGATAAAAAAGAGAAAAGGTATAATTAAATAATTAAAATCAGAATGACAGTGGGGACATCATTATGACCCCTGAAGAAAAACAAAGAATTATAAGGGCATACTATGAACAATTATACACCAGCAAATTAGATAATCTACAGAAAATGGACAAATTCCTAGAAACACACAAATTACCAAAACTGACTCAACAAGAAATAGGAAATCTGAACAAACCTATAAAAAGTAAAGGGATTGAATCAGTAGTAAGAGATCGAATCAGTGATCAAAAATCTCTTCAAAGGCAGGATCAGATGGCTTCTCTGGGTGAATTCTACAAAACCTTTAAAGAAGAACTAACACCAATCCTTCTCAAACTCTACCAGAAAATGGAAGAGGGAATACCTCCTAAACTCATTTTACGAGTCTTTATGCTCCACATTAGGGGCTGAAATTCAACCTCTCAATAAAGTACAATACCGCAAGTTCCCAAAACAACGACAAACCTGGCTGGGCAGTCCTTTCTTGGGGATTCTGCAGAGATGACTCATACATCAGTTAGCGTTGAGTTTGTGACCCTGAAGGATCTTTACATTTTAAAGAACCTATTGTTTAATCATTGTTTCTGTTACTTGTAATTCATTTCTCTAATTTATCAAAGGTTATTATTTGGATCATTATTTTGTCTGTCAAAATGCGGACCTGCCCCATTTCCATCTTGGGTTTATTTTCATTTAAATAGCTCTTTTTAAAATTTGTTTTTTCCCATTTATCTATAGCCCAATGATTTTTGACAAGGGGGGCCAAGACCATTCACGGGGGGAAAGAACAGTCTCTGCAACAAATGGTGCTGGGACAACTGGATAACCACATGCCAAAGAATGAAGCTGGACCCGGACCTCACACCATATACAATAATTAACTCAAAACGTATCAACAATCTAAATGTAAGTGCTAAAACCATAACACTCTTAGAAGAAAACATAGAGGTAAATCTTCATGACTTTGGATTTGACAACAGATTCTTGACTATGACACCAAATGCACAAGCAATAAAAGAAAAAATTGATAAACTGGACTTCATCAAAATTAAAGCCATGTATGCACTAAAGGATATTATCAGAAAGTGAAAAGACAACCTACAAAATGGGAGAAAATATTTGCAAATCATATATCTGATTGGGTCTGATATCCAGAATATATAAAGAACCACTTACAATAACAAAAAGATAACCCAATTAGAAATGGGCAAAGGACTTGAGTAGACATTTCTCTGAAGATATACAAACGGTCAACAAGCACAGGAAGGACACTCAACATCACTAGTTAACAGGGAGATCCAAACCAAAACCTTCATACCCATTAGGAAGGCGATGAATAATTTTAAATTTTAATGTTAAATAACAAGTGATGGAGAATGTGGAGAAATTGGAACCCTCTGTTCACTGTTGGTAGGAGTGTAAAATGGTTCAGGCTCGTGAAAAACAGTTTGATGGTTCCTCAAAAAGTTAAAAATAGAATTTCCATATGATCTAGCAATTCAACTCCTAGGTATGTACCCCAAAGAACTGAAAACAGGTATTCAGACAAATATTTGTACACGCACGTCTACAGCAGTGCTACTGACAATAGCCAAAAGGTGGAAACAGCACAAAGGCCCATCAGTGGATGAACAGATAAACAAATTGTGGTTTATACATGCAATGGAATATTATTCAGCCATAAAAAGGAATGAAGTGCTGATACATGCCACAATGTGGATGAACCTTGAAAACATTTATGCTAAGTGAAAGAAGCCAGCTACTAAAGGTCACATATTGTTATAATTCCATTTATATGAAATATCCAAAATAGGTAAATAGGTTGCCAGGGACTGAGGGCAGAAGGAGATGTGAAGAAACGTTTAAATGGGTAGGAGGTTTTGTTTTGGAGTGATGGAAATGTTTCAGAATTAGATAGAGGTGGCTGGGATTGTACCATACCGTGAACGTACTAAAAGCCATTGAATTGCACACTTTAAAATGGTTAATTTTATGTTGTGTGAACTTCACCTTTTTAAAATATGAAGCCACTCAGAAATATCAGATTATTGACAACTCACCCCTTGGACTCCAAATCCTGGAAACAACGTTCCAGGTCAATTCTCAGGTCATGGGTAGCAATTTCATTCCTGTTCAATTTTATCTGGTAGTTTTGAAGCTCTAGAATACAGACCAGGAAAACTCTCAAGATGTTAGCTCACTCCAGGCCACTAGAGCTCCCTTATTGTGAGTAAGTACAGGGGGTGGGGTGGGGGGGGGTTGGAATGCGGGGACCTAAAACTACAAGACAGGAGACTGTCCACGAAGCAAATGCGCTACCGTCCTATGGTGCTGCCGCCAAGGCCTTCTTACATTACAGGCCCAGCCTCCACTCACTCTAAGGTCAGTGCTCAGTCCAACGCCAGGTCCATTCCGCGGTCCCTGCGGCGAATAGGGGTAAGCCAGGCCTCTCTCGCTCCCCTTGCCTTTCCAGGGCCGCAGCTCAGGTTGGGGCCCCGACGTGGACCGGGGAGCGTAGCGTCGCCTACGGGGCGGGGGCGGGGCCGGGGCGGGCCGGGGGCGGGGTCTGCGCCGGCGCCGGGCCCGGCGGGCGCTCTGCCAGCTGCGTAAACAATGCCGGAGCACCGCGGCGGAGCAGGTGAGCGGGCTGGAACGCGCGCGCGGGTCGCGGCCCGGTCGCCTGCGGCTCGAAGGACACGGGGTGGAGCCGCAACCCGCGAGCCGGCCCCTGCCCTCCGCACGCCGTTCGCGGCGGTGGGTCGCGGCCCCTTGGAGGGTTCCGGGGCTGCGGCTCCAGCGGCCGGGGAGGGGAGGGCGCCGGCACAGCGGCGGGGCCGGCCCGGAACTGGGGAGTGGAAGGAGCGCGGGGAGGGGCCCCAGGCCTCGGGCCTTCAGCAGGGCCCGGTCCACCCGGCCGCTGGAGCCCCCGCCGGGGTGGACGCGGTGCGGGCTGTTACAGGGCCGGGGCATTTAAAGGAGCAGTGCACGTGGGTCTCGAAGGCGTGCGGACGCGGCATTGTGTTCCTCCCTCCTGGCTGGCACCTAATGGGCGCCCAGTCCTGCCGGCCTGTGGCACCCGGCCCGGGCAGTGCTTGGCGGAGGCAGGAGGGGAGGCGGAGGTCTTCCTGCGTACGTGAGGAACAGGACCTCAGGTCCGGGCTTGGAGACCCCAGTTTCGTTATCATTGGTATTTGGCCGTTTTATCAGGCGTTTACAGCTGCGAGGAGACTTGCAGAATCTAGCTTTTGAAGCTGAAGAAAATTTTATCAATGAAGAAACTCAGCCCACAGAGCTAAAGTGACTTTGTTCAAGGTCACGCAGATCGGCTATATGAGAGCCAAGCTTAGAACCCGTTGTCCTGGACTCTAGTTCTGTTGTCCAGCCCTGGGACTAGACCTCAGCCCTTTGACAGTTGGGTGAAATGCCCCCGCCTGTGCCTTAATGAGTATTCCCTTTTTACGGTACGAACTGTGGATTGGTGCAGTACCTGCATCCTCATTTACAGACGGAGAACCTGAGAGGCATCCATCCCATCCAGAACAGTTGCAGAGCCAACTTGACCCAAAACTGACAACTTGGGTTGCCAGCCTGTCCTGAGAGTAACTGATCGGTACAGACCTCGGCTTCCGGTATGGATGCCCCTGCCTTCTACATAGACCCCATTCTGTAGACACCTGAGTCTCCAAGGACTTCAGCCAAGACCTTTGGCAGTAGTTAAAAGGCTTCGTATAAGCTGCTTCCGGTGTGTGAGCCTCAGGTTCCCCTCTGTGTGAATGTGGCTGTGTGGGACAAGGAAATGTGTTGGCAGCGGTGTTGTCTGAGCCCGGCTGGTGAAAGGGCCTCGGGTCCTGTCTCCAGCTCAGAGCTGCAGCTTCAGCCACCCGTCAGGCAGGCCATCCAGGTTTGTGCCCTGGGTGTGCGAGGGAGCATTCAGGGCAGTGGCTGGAGGTGGGGGTCTTGGTGGAATGTTGCTGTGGAGTGGGATGGTGGTTGTGTCAGGTTTTTAGGAAAAATTCTGTATCGTTTGGTGTTGAAGTATCCGTGCACCAAGTCTAGAGTCTGACATGTGCATGCATGGGAGGTGAATGCCCTGAGCCTGTCTATTTGAAGAAGAGGAGGACAAAGAAGAGCGTGGCCAGGGGCTGCTGCTCAGATGCGCCTGGGGGCCCGTCGCCCCTCCCCCGCAGCTCCCCTGTGGCTACTCACAGCCCCGCTGCACCCCCAGGCTTTGCCAAATGAGAGGCTCCCACCTACCTTGGCCTCTCTCTAAGTCACTGACGGTAATAATGACAATAACATAACTTAGGTTTGTCATATACAATAAAAAGCCATTTTGTACAGTGGTTGTCACAGTTGTCTTAAGAGCATCGATCACACTGAAGCAGTTCTTATTTTTAACCCTTTTACAGAAGGGGAAACTGAGGTTCAGGGAGACAAGCAGCTTGTCCTGTTGTGTGGCTTCCATGGCTGTGAGCACCAGAATTTGAACCCAGCTGGCTGTGTCTTCTTCATCTTTTGAGTTTTTGCACAGGAGGCTTCCCACACTCATGCCCTACCCATGTCACTGCACTACCGCCCAGGACATTGCTCTGTGGTCTCCATTAGCAACTACCTGGCAAAGCAAAAAACAAAAACAAAAATTTTTTATAAAGAAACCAAAGCAGTGCGTGTAGGTCACAATATGTTTTATTGAAGACATGTTTGGCTGGTTTTCAGCTGTTGATTTGACTTTTAGACACTGTTTAGTTGGGGACTGGCACGATAACAAATGTTTCTGCCAGTATTTCCACCTGTTCCTGGACTGCAGCAGCTGGGGGTGGGGCTGGGGGTGGAATACAAGGGCTCTGAGGCTGGCACACCCTCCACACTGCCCCTGGCCAGGGCCTGAGAGGTTCTCCGCACCTTGAGCTGGCCGGATCTGACATGGGCTTCAAGCCCTGTGTAATCAGTGTTGGCTTCTTGACCTGGAGGTGGTGAGGCTGCTGTGTTATTACAGTCTGGGGAAAAGTAATTTCAAATTGATCCTCAGGGAGGACCAGGTGTGAGGGAGGGAGATCATTTCTGTCCAGTTTCTTCGTTGCCTGGGAGAATGGGTTGCTGATTTGTCTTTGCTAAAATACAGTCTTCTGGAGCAGTGGGAAGAAAAATTAAAGGGTGCTCACTTTCTGCTGTACCGTATCTGCTGAGACATATCCTGACCTCGTCTGTGTTTTGTAGGCTACCTGAGTGACTATGGTCCTGGGCCACTGAGTATGTGACCCTCACAAGTACTTTACAGCAGCAGGGAAGAGCTCCTTGTTGGTAATTTGGAGACCTGAGCTGTAACTGTGGCTTCTGGTCATGGGCCTTAACCTTTTGTCCTTTTGTCCCTCTGGGCTTCAGTTTCCCTAAATGGGAAATGGGGTGCTGACCGGATGGGCTATGAGGTCCTTGCCAGCTCTGACGTCAGTCTACGGACTTGCCCTTTTGTTTGACAAAATGTTCACATTGCCGGAGTGCCCTGGACTGGGGCTAAAGTGGAAACACCCGGGGCCTGGATGAGGCGTGACCTTGGTGCTCAACTCGTGTGTCTGGTGGTTTAGCAGATCGTAGCTTTCCAAGAGGGCCATCAACAGGCTTCTGTTATCCCTTCTCACTGAGTCCCTGCCTTTATTTCATCTTCATTATAACTACCGTTTATTGAGCTCTGTGCCAGACACTTTACACATTATCTCTAGTTTTTACAGTCATCTTGCAAAGTGTGCCTATCCTGCTTTTTACAGAAGAGGACAGGGGCCATGTGAAGTGGCCCGAGTGTGCGGGCCACTTGTCCCCGTGTGTGGTTCACACCAGTCAGCCTAGCTGATTTGAACTCTGTCCATTTCTAAGGCTCAGCTTTTGCCCACTGGCTTACTGCTTCTCATTAAAACAAACAAACAAAACCCCACAATTTTTTCTGGGCCCTACTCAACGGTGGCCACCTTCCCAGCTTCCCTCTGCCACTTCCAAACCGCCCCTTTTCCAGGCTCCTTCAGGAAATGAGAGAAAATGTTTCCTGGGAACTTCTGAGTAGGAAAGGGCAGACAGAGGTAACTCTAGAGCCTGAGTCAAGGTTTCAGGAGGCCCCATAGGGTCGCCTGGGGCCTGTGACTTGGGAGGGCGGAGTGGGACTTCAGGGCCTCCCTGTGGGACTCAGGCCCTGGCTCCGGCCGAGGCCACCTCCCTGTGCTGGGGAGAACCATCTGGCAAGTGATGTGCATCAGAGTATGGGCAGGGTGGATGGACAGATGGATGAAGGTCAGCCAGGGCCAGTACACGGTCGGGGGAGACAGGCAGGCAAGCTGTGGGAATTTCTAAGGGAATTTCCTCAGCTCAGGAAATTCTTCCTTAGTATGAGGGAAGGCTGGGAACACGCCAGGGGTCATGGGAGCTCTGTGAAGTAGCCATGTGACCATAGACAGAGGCCCATTTAAAACCAATGCCACCCTCTTTGAGGGAGCACTGAAAAATAAAATGAACAAATGTGACAAAACAGAAACAGACCAACAGAATAAACTGTGGTTACTAGTGAGGAGAAGGAAACGGGGAGGGGCAAGATAGGGGAAGGGGATTAAGGGGTGCAAACAACTATGTATAAAGTAAATGATACAAGAATGAAATGTACAGCACAGGGAATATAGCCAGTATTTTACAATAACGTTATATGGAATATCTATAAAACTCTCAAGTCACTATGTTGTACACCTGAAACTACTGTAATATTGGAAGTCAACTATCCTTCAATGATGAAAGGAAGTGAGGGGCACTGTTCAGTAAGGTCTGCAAAAACAAGTACCCGGATGCAAGCCTTTCTCTGCTGACCACCTGTTTGTCTTAAGTGCAGTGACTCCCAATTTTCTTTTGGAGCCGAAATTTCCATCTTTTTGCGTGAGGCACTAGTGTTTACTATGGCATTTAAAGATCGATTTCCTACTTAGGTCCATTGGCCTTCAACTTTAAGGTCAAAACCTTTGCATTTCTCTGAAATGAAAATCAGGTTGAGGAAATTGGGTCACCAGGGTTTCTGTAATAACTGCAGGAACTGCTGACACAGCAAGGTTGGGGAAATTCTCTGGGTCACACTCCCTTGGTTTGGCTCATTCAGAACTTGGATCCCATTCAGCTGATTAATGGGAGTGAGCAGTGGCTCCTTTGGATGTTTGATTTTACATCCTAATCCAAGGAGCTTTCAGCCACAGTGCTTTGTTCTGGGAAGGGTTTCCAGAATGCAGTCTTAGGCACCTGTTCCTCCCATTAGCTTCTCTGCATTTTCCCGCTGCTCCGTCAGAGAGACCGGAGAGCCGGTTGCTATGTGGTTGGTAGGATTTGACATCAGCAGTAGGAGAGTCACCCAGTCCCACCAGCACCTGCCTGTGAGTCAGCCTCCCGGCAGGAGTTCTTGGTGTCACTGGTGCTCTGATGTGGAGAAACATCTAGCAAGAAGGTTGTTTATCTGCATACATTTGAGTGGTGATTTTTTCCCTCCAAGGATTGCAGAGTATCATCAGTCTTCAGTTCCAACTTAGAAGCAAAAGGAGTACATCCCAGCTGCTCTGTTCTCCTTCAGGAACCAGGTAATAAGAGGGGTTAGGAGAAGGTGTAAAAGAGGCTTCCTGAGTCCATCTGTTCCCCCCAGTCCAGGGAGAGAGGATGTGGGAAAAGGCGGGATGGAAGAAAATCTGTCTAAATGTTGATACTTGTTATTTCCCTTTAAAAAATTAATAGCTTTACAAAAAATGCCAGGCACAATCCATGTTTATTATAGAAGCTCTGAGAAATGCAGAAAAATATAAAGTATCACCCACAATCTCACTATCCAAAGATAACCACCGTTAATGTTTTGTAATATTTCTTGCCAATCCTTCATATACATGCATTTTCTAAGACAATTCAGATAATTATGTATGTCAAGTTTTATATCTATTAAATTTAACATCTTGTTTTCATGTTAGTAAATATTCTTTTTTTTTTTTAGTAAATATTCTTTGAAGTGAGGTTTTTAGTAGTCATATGTTAGATCCCATCAAATGGATATATTATCATACAGAGTCAGGCATCTTGGTCATTTTCACTTTTTAAAAAAAAAATATAAATGACTGCAACAACCATGTTTTTATGTAAATCTTTTATTATTTTCTTAGGACAAATTCCAAGAAGTAGCATTTCAGGATCAAAAGGTATGAATGTTTTTAAAGCCCTCGATTTTTACTGCCTTCAGAAAGGCTGGTCCTTTGGTACCAGCGACGCTTGAGCCCCAGTTTTACTACACCCTCCTTCGAGGTGGGCATTGCTTGGGGGCTTTTTCAGCCAGACCACTCTCTTCTCCCCCTGTGGCTCTCCTAGTCTGAAAAGCTTCTGCTCATCTGCCTCCCCAGTGGCTCTCTGACCAGGCACAGGGTATTCAGGAGGAAGGACTGTTCGTTCTTTCACGCCCCCATTCAGCAAGCAAGTTGTACACGGCAGTAGGTGTGCCAAGCTAGGTGAGCGAGGTGCCCTGCCCCTGAGACAGAGAGGTGAACTGTAACTGGACACTTCCAGTACCAAGTCTGGGCCCTGGCTGGGGCATCTGATTACTCGGCAGCAGCTCCAGGGAAGGTCTAACACCAGCCTAAGAATTGCCCAGGGACCATCTCAAAATGCAGATCCCTGGACCTTTGGCCAGGATGGAACTTAGGATCTGCATTTTAAATAAGCACCCTAGCGTAGCATTTAAGAGCCCAGAACCTGACCACCTAGATCCAAGGATGACTTTGAACCTATCACTTTTTAAATCTTTTTCCCTCATCTGTGAAATGGAGAAGGATAGCAGTACCTCGTACCTGACTGTTGTGTTTAGTGCATAGTGAGTGCTCAGCAGCTGTTCTATCACCACCCCTCAGGTGGCCTGGACCACTTTGAGAAACAGCATCTCAAGCATCTTACAGCTTTCTGAAAGTCCTAAGCCATGCCCTCAGGTGCTAGGAGCTCCGAGAAGCACCTCCACCTCTGCTCATGACCACCAGGCCCAGAGGGCTGCGATTAGAGCCACAGCCAGGTCCAGCCCTTCCCTGCTGCAGCCCCTCTGTGCCCTGGTTTTCTGGGAGTCCTGGGCAGAGCGCAAGGAGGGAAGGAATCTTCTCAGGGAGCATTTGTTTTCTCGCGAGGAGGCCATGAATTACATGTGGTGGATGGAAAAGCGTGTTTTGTAGTTTTCTGACTTCCTGCCTCTGTGCAATGCGATGCTGCATGGAAGGGATACAGTCCTTTTTTAAGCTCACTCTCCCTGGGCGAGTCCTTCACAGACTTTGGGAGGCAGAAGTGCATTCCTGGGATTTGGTGACTGGCTGAAGAAATGGAAATTGGAAGGACTTTACTTGATCCGGGTCCCGTGCTTTTCTGTCCCCACCCGCCCCGTAGCTCCCTGTCTCCTTCCAAGAAGCATCTTCACTCCTTGTCTGTCCATCTCCCCACTAGGAGAAGAGGCAGCCAGGATGCTGCAGCTGTTGTGGTTCTGAAGGATGAACTTGCCCTCTGCCCTGGGAGTGCAGCCCTGCCGTTTAGATGCAGGGACTCCTGATCTGCTCCTCCAGTCGTGGTAAAGGCAAATCACAGGCCCTCCAGAGGCGTGGGAAGAATAGAAGGAGCGAGATCGTAACTAAATTATTAATTCACACCCCTAACAAATCTGACGTGCTACAGAATAAAGTATGGAAAGGGCCACTGCACTGCTCCAGTTGGAGTGTCCCGGTTTAGCTTGCAGAAATGCAGCCAGCTCTGTGTGCGGGTACCCCTTTTTGAGTAAGAATGGACTCACTGTTGCCAGAGTGGGCAGCGCGGGGATCTCCTGGGTCCAGGCAGGGGTCTGTTTGGGATTTATTCAGCGGGGCCCAGCCTTGCAGAGGAGGAGCGCTTTGAAGTTTTCCCTCCTGGGTCCCCATTAAGTAGTTTTCTTTCATTACCGTTACTGTAGATGAAGGAAGCTAGGAACTTCCCAAGGTCTCACAGCCTGTGGGGCTGCAAAGCCGTGTCCCCTCCAACTGGGCTCTGAGGTAGACTCTGCTGGTCCCAGGTCTGGGCGCTGAGAAGCAGATCCGCCTCCTGGGCCCTAGGCCACACTAGTCCTGGGGCCTCCCGGGAAGAGGCAGGAGGGCTCAGCTGGCCCTCTGCTCCCACAGAGCGCACTCTGGTCACATCCCTCTTCAGCACCAAAACCCTGGCTGGCCCCCTCTGCTAGCTTCAGCTCCCCCTTCCCGGTCAGGCCTCCACGCTCCGCCCTGGGATGGTCCACCTCCCACCGCTGCCTCCCTGGTCTCCACCTTAGTCGTAACTGCAGTAGCACAGCGTCCTCATCACCCCTCCTGGCAGCTGCTGTACCTTACTTCCTACTGATGTCACTACTGCTGTCACTCCTGTACTTGTCTTATCTCTGCTGAACCCTGGGGAGCTTAGCGTGTTCATTCTGAAATCCCTGTGAGAGCCACGGGGGAGCCTTTTGTGAGGGCCCGAGTCTGTGAGGTGAGCAGAGTCAGGCTCTGCCGTGGGCCTGTACTTGGGGATGGAGTAGAAGTCCAGCTGGGAGTAATCCAGGCCACGGCCTTAGGGCACTGTCTTCAAAAACAGCAGCAGCCTCGGACCCTGCCAAGATGAACAGAGCTGGCTGACTCAGTAGACGGAACCTGCCTGCTCCACTTGAAAATCATAAATTCTTGGGGGCAACTGACGTGGAGATGAACTTTGAGCTGAGAGCAGACCTGACTGTGCCGAGTGGCGTGAGGCTGCCCCAGGGTCCCAGGAGGCAGGTGACGGGGGAGCTGGCCCAGCCGCTAGCCCAGCTGACCTGCCCAGGATGTCGGTAGGGCTCCGGGCTGCCCCGGCTTCCCGGTGGTGCTGCTCTGCCCGCACCACTGCGGCACAGCAGTCCCGGGGGACAGGCTCCCTCCCGTATGGTCCCTACAGCCTTGTCTTTTCCTGTGGGTCCCACGCTCAGCTGTACTTCCCCAGCACGCGCGCACACACGCGCACACACACTCACACACACACTCACACACACGCTCGCCTCTCGTGGTCTCGGCTCACTGCTCCCGTGGCCGTCACTTCTAAACTCATGACTCTCATCTCCACCTCAGGCCCCAGCACTCAGCTGCCTCCCAGGCATCTTCACCCTTTTAACCCATTTACATTCAGCAGATTCCTGGATCAAATTCACAGTGTTTCCTCTGAAACCTTGTTCTTCCGCTTCTCCCATCCTACTCCCTGTCTGGCCCTAGTCCTGGACTCTGTCCCATTTTGTCCCACACATCTGGTCCTGTCTGTCTACCTCCTACCCCTTCTGGATTCTCTCTCCTTACTCCCATCCATTCTTGCCACCTTAGGCCCTCTTCACTACCCACAATTGTCTCCAGGGAGGTCACCTTTCCTTCTTTTTACTCCTTTTTCAGTCAGTGGCCAGACTGATATTTCTAACCAGAGATCTGATCTGTCACCTCTGTCCTCGGGGGACGAAGCACACCTCCTGAACTCGGCACCAGAGACCCTTCACACCTCCACAGCATCACCACCCCAACCCCGGCAGGGCTCAGGCTGGAACATTCTTCATGCCCTCTGCCATTCCCTCCCCCCTGGGAAAATCTGTCTCCGTCAGATGACGTTATCTTCTCCAGAAAACACTCCTGATCTCTGAGTTTTAGTCCCTTCTTTGTGCTTCTGTACCTCTTGATGAACACCTGGATTATATAATTTGTCACGTTGGACGGTTGGTTTTTAATTTTTTACGACAGAAGTGTCGTTGGCGCACGATAGGTGCTGAACAGATGTTTGTTGATTGAATGAGTGAGTGTGCTGGCAGTTTGGAGGGGCTCTGACATTTCTAGTTGGGGGTTTTGCCCCCTGTGGCCTGGATCTCCTCTAGCCAGTCCCTCTCGAGGTTGCTGCAGGCTCAGTAGTGGCTCCTGGGGACTGTTGCTTTATAGCAGTCCTTTGACAAGCGCGTCTTGGGTGGTCATTGCGGGCTGTGCAGGTCTTAAAGCCGCCTCTCACCTTCTGCTGCCTTTGCCTCGCAGGAGAGTGGAATGAGGTCCCCTGTGCTCCTTTTCCAGGCACTTTCGGAGGTAGGGTCATGCTCACATTCATGGCCTCTGACAGCGAGGAAGAAGTGTGTGACGAGCGGACGTCCCTGATGTCAGCCGAGAGCCCCATGCCGCGCTCCTGCCAGGAAGGCAGGCAGGGCCTGGAGAACGGAGAGGGTGCCGCCCAGTGGGTAGGTTCCCACCAGCAGTCCAAGGCCTCCGGACAGGTACCTGGGGTCCCAATGGACAGAAACCAGGCATTCCCTGATGTGGGAGGGAGGGGAAAGTAAAGGTAAGAATTGGCCAAAAGGGCGGGTGGTCCACCATGGTGGATCCTAGGTCTGTGAAGGCTTGATAGTAGACTCTGCACAGACACAGCCTATTACAGATCGACTCCCCGATGGACTGAGTGATTCTCTCCATCCTGACCCTGCCCCTTAGGTTTGCCTTCCTAGTGCAGGTTACTATTTCCACAGGAACCTGAGAGTGAGTTTGGATGCCAGGACAGGCAGCGCAGAGACGAAACGACGGTAGGAGGAAACTGCTAGAGGGAACCTTTTTGGTAGATGGCCAGACATGGTCACCAAGAGGTTACCTGATTCATGTTTGACTTTTGAGCTGGGGCTGTGTCTTAGTTCAAGGCTGCTATCACAAACATACCATAGACTGGGTGGCTTATAAACAACAGAAATTTATTTCTCACTGTTCTGGGGCCTGGGAAGTCAAGATCAAGGTGCTGGCAGACCTGATGTCTGGTGAGGACCCACTTCCTGGTTCGTAGGCAGCTGTCTTCTCTCTGTGTCCTCACCTGGCAAAAGGGGTGAGGGAGCTCTCTCGGGCCCCTTTTTTTTTTTTTTTGCGGTACACGGGCCTCTCACTGTTGTGGCCTCTCCCGTGGCGGAGCACAGGCTCCGGACGCGCAGGCTCAGCGGTCATGGCTCACAGGCCCAGCCACTCCGCGGCATGTGGGATCTTCCCGGACCGGGGCACGAACCCGCGTCTCCTGCATCGGCAGGCGGACTCTCAACCGCTGTGCCACCAGGGAAGCCCTCGGGCCCCTTTTATAAGGCACGAATCCCATTTGTGAGGGCTCCCCCCTCGTGACCTAATCATCTCCCAAAGGCCGTACCTTCTAACACCATCACATTGGGAGTTAGGCTTCAGCATGTGCGTTTGGGGGACGCAGGCATTCAGCCCGTAGCAGGAGGGGTGGGCTGCACTGTGATTTTGCCTCTGCAGCCTGCAGGGCAGGAGGTTGTAACATATGAAGTGGAGGATATACTTGGGAGAGTCATCTGGCCAAGCCACCTCCCTCCTCATCAGGGTAAAACAACATCTGAATTTGCCTAAATTCCATTCTTCGTTTTGCCCATTATAGTAATTTTTTCTTCCAGCCAGCCTTATTTCCCTTTGCTGAAACTTGAGCTCACTTCTCCTATCCTCCTCTGGGCTCTGAGAGAGATCTCACCGGCTCAAGACCACTGCACAGCTACTCCTTAGCCCGTTTCTTGCTAGTTGCTTTGTCTTATCTCCTGGAGTTTTTGTGCATTTCAGCTATTTCAGTTCCTGTTCATTAAGTGTTCCTTTCTTTCTCAGATGAATATATAGATGGAATTCTTTCTGCCAGGAACTGATTGATACCAAAGAACAGCCACTTTTGAGTTTTGTTTCATTTGGCTTTGTCTTGGCTGTTAATGTAATTAACAGAGCAGCTAATGATCCTGAATTGCCACGATTCCAAAACAAATCCTTGCCGATCAGTGTGTGCCAGCGCCTGGCGTCCTGTCCTCCTTCGCGGCCTCCTCATTTATACGTAACCCAGATCCTCCCAGATGCTTGATGCCCAGTTCGCCTCTTCGCTTCAGAGCTGCAAATCTTGCATGCTTGCTTTGGGGGGCGGGGCGGGGTGCAAAAAGTTCAAAGTAATTTCTTGCTCTGCAAATTCCCAGTGTCTTATTCACAATCAGAGACAGTCCCCACGTCCCCATGTGTGCTGACCATTCTAGTTTGTGATGTTTCAACCAACAGAGTTTAATTTCTGCCCTTCTCCTATCACCTGGCCTGCCAAATTAGTGTGGCCATGTGAACAGAACTGAGTGGCATCCTGAGTCCCTACACTGAGGGAGGGGACAGATCTTTAGACATGCCCCAGACCCATTCTGCAGACTGTCCTCTTCCACAGCTAAGTGGACCGTCCTCGTCCACAGCAAAGTGGCCTCCCCTCCTGAATCTGTGGTGGTCAGCGCCAACTTAAATCTCTCGTCCTCCTAAACTTTTCAAATGTCCTGCAATTCCACCACTCCCACATCTAAACTACAGCCCATAGACTGGTTCTTACATCTGGAAAGCAACATTCAAACTTCTCGTTTCCGGTTCCAAAACACCCATGCGCCACGTCGCTAAGGCCTCTGGGGGGGCGTTCCGTGGCCCTCACAGTGTGGTTTCCCACAGAGAGGCCAGGAGAGCGAGGAGGACCATGAGGAGGACCCCGACCGCTACGTCTGCAGCGGGGTCCCCGGGCGGCCCCCAGGCCTGGAGGAGGAGCTGACCCTCAAATACGGGGCGAAGCACGTGATCATGCTGTTTGTGCCTGTCACGCTGTGCATGGTCGTGGTGGTGGCCACCATCAAGTCCGTGCGCTTCTACACGGAGAAGAATGGACAGCTGTGAGTTGGGGGCTTGGCGGGGAGGGGAAGGGGAGCTGGGGGAGGGGAGTGCAGCCTGTGTCAGCCCCATGCCAGCAGTGAAGAGCAGGGCCGGGGAGCTGCCCGAGTCCACACCCTGGTCCGCCCACTGCCTCTTGGCTGTGTGACCTGCCTGGGTACCCTGCTAACCTTTCTCGGCCTCAGTTTCCTCGTCTGTATGATGGGTTTGATAACAAGGTTACCAGGAGAATTGAGTGAGTTGATCCACATAAAGGGTTTAGAAGAGCACCTGCCACCCGCCGGGCAGCGCTCCCGGCACGCTGGGTCTCACTGCAGGAGGCAAGCTCTCCATCCCAGGTGTGGCTGTACCCCCCATCCCTGCGTGACCACAAGCAAGTTGCTTTCTCTCTGGGCCTCTTCATTCATATCCCCATGAATGTAAACCAAGGAGGACCAAATGATTTCTTAGCTCACTTCCAGCCTTGCACGGGAGACTTTGTTTCTTTTAATAAAGAAAACGCAGGCAGAAGCAGCAGCCTGGGGAAAGGGGAGGGCTCTCTCTGCTCCCTCCCCCAGCCTCCCTGTGGTTATTGCTGCCGAGTACCTTCTCTAAACATCTTTTTTTTTTTTTTAGGGAGTTTTTGTTAAATTTTGTTTATGGTTTTTTTAATGAAAAGAGTAGAGAAAGAAGCCCTTGCCCTCAGGAAGCTTGTAGTCTGGTGGGGGGGGGGGACTCAGCGCAGCTCAGGTGAAAAGCGTTAAGAGACCTTGAGCGCTTCGCGGGCAGTTTGTTTCCCTACGTCCAGAGCAAGGGATCAATGAATTACCTTCTGAGTTTATTAGCTGCCTGTGCAGCTATGGGGTTATGCTGGGTGTGGGTAGGGGAAGCAGCGGGGGCGGAGGCGTCCTAGGCTCGATGGGGCTGATAAGGAAGTGGATGTAGGGAACCGCTGGGTCTCCCTGGCCCAGAGCTGGGAATTGGGGTCAGCAGGGAGAAGCACTTCCAGGGGAGAGTTGAGTTGGTGTGGGGGCCAGGGGAGGCCTTGGTGAGGCCAGCCAGGCCCTTCCGTGCGGCTACATCGGCTCAGTCATAGGCCAAAGTCGGGAGCCAGGAGACGGGAAGGCAGGGCAGCTCATGCGGATGGTGGGCAGCGCGTGCCAGGGCAGCCAGAGCACGGTGCTGAGGGGCAGGGGTGCCCAGGGCACCTGCACCCCAGGTCCAGGCTCCCTCGGGGTGAGGCGTACAAGCAGGCAGGGCACCGAGACCTAGCCCTCGCCCCTCCCTCAGCATCTACACACCTTTCACCGAGGACACGTCTTCGGTGGGCCAGCGCTTCCTCAACTCCGTGCTCAACACCCTCATCATGATCAGCGTCATTGTCGTCATGACCATCTTCCTGGTCGTGCTCTACAAGTACCGCTGCTACAAGGTGAGCGCCAGTCCGCCTGCTTTCCTCCTGCCTGCCATGCCTCAGTGCCTCTTGGGCAGCAACCCTGGCTCTTTTTTTTTTTTTTTTTTTTTAACAGAGTTCATTTTTCTTCTGTAAAATAGACCCTGATTTTTGGTGCAGGCATACCTCGTTTTATCGGGCTTCACAGACACTGCGTGTTTTACAGATTCGAGGTTTGTGGCAACCCTGCGTTGAGCAAGTCTGTTCGTGCCATTTTTGCAACAGCATAATTTTTCAATTGATGCTGTTTTAAAAATTTTTTTAGACATAATGCTATTGCACACTTAATAGACTGCAGTATAGTAGAAACGTTAACTTTTACGTGCAGTGGGAGACCAAAAAATTTGTGACTCACTTTCTTGCGTACTCTGTTTATCGTGGTCCGGAACCCAACCCAACCTCGCTGAGGTTTGCCTGTACTCTTTCCCACCCCACCTCTGCCCCCCGCATGGATTACCTAATACTCCTGTCCTTTGAACTTACACATAATCCCACTTACTTGAGTTCCTCTTTGCAGTGTTCATAGGGTTACTTCTCACGTTCAGAAGTTAATTTTATTTTGCTTCTCCTTCCAAAGAAGTGAGATGTTCTATTTTAGGCTCCTTTCACCCAATATACTTCCCCTCCAAGTTTATTTTTATTTTCCCATTTCCCTTTCGGCTGGAGATGTACAGCTGCTGTGCTGAGGTCTTCCAACACTGGGAGATGTTCGGGCGGGCCCCCTGCTCTGCGGGGCGGTCCCAGGGAGGAACGGGGAGTTGAGTCCCACGTGGCCCAAATCGTCCATAGAGATCCGTAAGCTTTTAGGCACGGGTTTCAGGCTTTTCTCCCAAGAAAGGCTTTGAAGCCTTGAAGACTGAACGGAAGTTGAACTAGACGTTACCTGATTTAAAACCGTTCACACACAGGCGTGTGCGGCCCTTGATATTAGGCTGCTGCCATCTGTGGAGCAGGTAGAGACAGATGGGGAGGCTTAGTCTAGAGGGACGAGCCCCGTCCCAGCGGGGGTGACGGTGGGGGTGAGCGGTGGGGGTGGGGGGGCGTGTCCGAGAGCTGGAGCTTCTCAGTAAATAGCTACCTGTATAAAGGCAGAGTTCGTAACTGGGGCAGGGATGGCCGTGGGTGGCAGGAAGCAGGGTAGAGGGCTTTGTGTTTGGAGCAGAGGATACAGCATGCGTAAGGACAAGCTAGAAGGAGCATGGCCAGTGAAAAGCCGGCACTGCTCTGGTCAGCAGGTGTCACGCGACCACTCCCAGGGACTGTTAAGAGGCAGCTCGACCCTCCGTGCAGTAAGATTTACTCCGTGACGCGGGCAGGAGATGACGGTGGACTGGGCAGGCCCAGGTGGGATGAGGAGGGTCAGCACGTTCCAGAGGCGGCCCCTTCCCCTCTGGGTGGAGCGCACAGCATGGCAGACAGACCAGGTGGCCGCTGAGGTCCCCAGCGGCCTGAGCTGGTGACCGATGGTTCTGGCCTCCAGGGAGGCTGGTAGCGGTGACCACCATGCCGCTGCCAGCTGCCTGAAGGACTGGTTGAGGATCAGCCCCACCCTCGCCCTTGACCCTCCCTTATTTGGCCAGGGGAGGAGGAACGTGTCTTTCTGAAGACCTGTCTGTAGGCCCTCAGGTGGGCAGTGACTCCCCGGGCTGACTCTTCTAAACAGGCTACCTCAAGAGTCTTCCCTGACCACTCTGTCTAATAAAATAGCACCCCAGTGGGTCTCCTGTCACTTTATCCAGCCAGGTTTTTTTTCATAGCCCTATCACTTCATGCTAACATGTGTCTGTTGTCTCACTGCCCTCACACTGGGTTGCAGCCAGTGGGCGCAGAGACCTTGCCAGCCTTATCTCCAGAGCGTGGAATGTGCCTGGCGTGTCCAGAAGGAGTAGAGTGCTAGGTGTTCAGACCTGAAGGAGCTCCAGCTCCTTCGTATGCTGGCTGGGTTACCTGGAGAGAACTCCTTGACCGTCTGTGCCCTCCTTATCTGTAAAATGGCCACCTTCCAACATAGTCAGGGAGGAGCCTAAGGAAGAAGGGTTTCCAGGCCTGGGCGTCAGTGCCGAGGACCGGGGCCTGCGATCATGCTGCCTGTTTCCGTCTAGTTCATCCACGGCTGGCTGATCATGTCCTCCCTGATGCTGCTGTTCCTTTTCACCTACATCTACCTTGGGTGAGTGGCAGCCGGTGGGCAACAGGGTCCTTCGAGACCCCTCCCCTGTGGTACGAGTGGGTCTGAAGGACCTGGGAGGGAAGGGCGCCCCTTGGTCTCCACACCTTCCCCGTGTTGCTGCTCCAGGAGCCCGGCCTCCTCGACATGGGAGTGGAGCTGCGAGTTGGGCCACACGTCTCCTTCTGGTTCCTGATTTAAAACAACGCAGAGCCATCACAGAGGGGGTTCTCTGTGAACCCCAGTGGGGGGGCGGTTCGGGGGCAGAAACCCCTCAAAATTTACATTCTGATCTTCGGGCTGGGCCTGGGTACCTCCTAGTTTATGGGGAAAGGGATCTCTCTTGCCATGGATTTGGGACATCAGCCAGACCCAGGGACCCAAAGAGACTGGAGGGACAGGAGAGAACACTTTTCCAAGGACCTTTTCCACAGGCAGAGGGTCTTCCAGGCCGTGCCGGTGCACGTTTATGGGAACCAGCCCAAGGATGAGACATTGGGGTACTCCCCACCGTTTCATAAATTTTTCAAGGGGTTATGCGTAGGGCTCATGGAAACAGGGAAGGAGATGTCAGCAGGTGAAGCCAGAGGTTGGAAGAACCCAGGCTGGGACTTAATGATGGAAGGGTGTTGAACTGTGTCAGGGTCTAACATCTCCACTGAGTTTCCCAGCTCACGGGCTTGACTGTGGTCCCGCAGGGAAGTGCTCAAGACCTACAATGTGGCCATGGACTACCCCACCCTGTTCCTGACCGTCTGGAACTTCGGGGCGGTGGGCATGGTGTGCATCCACTGGAAGGGCCCCTTGGTGCTGCAGCAGGCCTATCTCATCATGATCAGCGCGCTCATGGCCTTGGTGTTCATCAAGTACCTCCCAGAGTGGTCTGCGTGGGTCATCCTGGGCGCCATCTCTGTGTACGGTAGGTGGGCCATGAGCTTGCAGGGGTGGGCCATGGAGTGACGTCCAGGGCTGAGTCCTCACTGCTGGACAAGGGTGATGGGTGTTGAGAAGTCTCCCCTCCCCCCACCCCGCCCTGGGAGGCCTGGATGATCACCCTTCTAGAAAGTTCACCTTTGTAAAAAAAAAAACAAGTGGGGTCCTGTGGAATCGTGACTGTTGACATGGTTACTAATAACAGCACTCACACCGTTAAGCGCTTTGCACACTGGAAGTCATTTGTTCCTCAGAACAACCCTGAGACTGGCACAGTACCGATAAATAACGAGCACCCAAAATGTTAGCTGCTCTTCAGTTAGTATAGTCGTCCCTCGGTATCCTCGGCGGGTTGGTACCAGAACCCCCTCAGATACCAGAATCCGAGGATGCTCAAGTGCCTTGTGTAAAATGAGGTATTATTTGCACATCACCTACGCACATCTTCTCGAGCACTTTAGATCATCTCTAGGTTACTTGTAATGCATAACGCAACATAAACAATATGTACATAGCTGTCGATGTGCGGCAAATACAAGTTTTGATTTTTGGAACTTTCTGGGATATTTTTCTGAATATATTTGATCCACAGCTGGTTGAATCCATGGATACGGAACCCAGAGATATGGAGAGCCGCCTGTATCAGTGTGATAGCCATCACCCGTACTGCTTCTTACGTTGTTAGGATAAGGAATTTGGGGCTCAGAGAAGTGGGACTTCAAGCCCATCCTCTGGTCTCTGAGGCACACAGCAGTTCCCTGTTTGCAGCTAGCCTGTTTGGACACTGCTCAGACCCCACTGTGGGCTCCAGCCAGTGCAGGCTCTAAGGATCGTGGCTGAAACCCGGGGGGGGGGGGGGGGGGGATTGCTGGAGCAGCAGGGCGTGGTCTGAGAGCCTTGGCCTGGGGCTCTGGGACACGCTCGCTCCAACGCCTGGTGTTCAGAGGGCTGGTTCCTCTCTGGGGGCTGCTTGGGAATAAACGTGTTTTTTAACATGCCAAGGGCGTCTTTGCTTTCCCAGATCTCGTGGCTGTGCTGTGCCCCAAAGGGCCGCTGAGAATGCTGGTAGAAACTGCCCAGGAGAGAAACGAGCCCATATTTCCTGCCCTGATATATTCATGTGAGTATATGATATGTACATGGCTTTCGGAGGTGATGAGGAGATATTTAACCGTTTCCCTGACGAAAGGAGACGAGGCAGCCTCAGTGACCCCAGGAGGGCTCCACCTTCTGAGATGAAGGTGGGCTGTGTCTTGCTCTTAGACAGGAAGAAACTTGGAAAGTCAGAGCAGGAAGAGGACACCAGGGGATGTGGTCCTACCCCCCAGCTTCCTCGCACCTGGCTCCAGTGGCACATGGTGGCTACAGGCCACATTCCCATGAGCCCAAGGCCACCGACTCAGCCCTCCAGGCCCCTGATAAGGGACTTTGGAGAGGGACTCTTTAGGGTGGGGGTCTGGGGGGGAAGGGTGCGCCTACCTTTCCCTGGGCTGCCTCAACAGCTTCGTGGCTGGTTGAAGTGAAGTCTCTGAAGGGAATGCCTTCGGGGTTGCTGCTGGCGTCGGGGCCAGTGCACTCAGGGATTGGTACTTATAAAGGCATCAACAGACATGCACCAAATTCATACTTTGTGGTGGGCGCTGTGCTGGGCATTGCGGTTGCCATGGAAACAAGATCCACAAGGTCCCAGGCCTCAGGGAGCTCACTGCGCTGTGGTTTTCATGCCCTCCCCTCTGTTATTCACGTAGAGAGCCTGAATTTCTGGGGCTCAGTTGTCTGCAGGGCGCACTGGGAAACAGCCTTTGAATGGCTAGAGTTGGCACTCTATACAAATGAAGAACCCAGCTCGTCGTGGAGAGCCGCTGGCGGCCTGGCCCCAGGGTGAGAAAGCACATTCCAGGCACAGCCTAAAAAATGAGCAGAGACTGTGTATGGAGAGACTGAGCCGTGTCAGATTTCCGCTCGCAGTCGCTGTGCTCTGATGGAGCTTACATTCTAGGAGGGGAGGCAGACAGGGACCCAACAGGCAAACTAAGTCAGGAGGTGAGAGCCCCATAGAAAGATAAAGTGGGGGGCGGTGGGGGGGGGCGTGAAGGACTCCAGGGTAGTGAGGGGTGCTATTTTACAGAAGGTGGTCAGGGAGGCCCTGTGTCATAGGTGACATTTGACCAGAGACCCGCCTTAGGAATATCTGGTGACAGAACTCCAGGCAGAAGGAACAGCGGCAAGTGCAAAGGCCCTGAGGTGGGCGTGGGCCTGGTGTGCTCGGAACGCCCCGAGGCCAGGCAGAGGGAGCCAGCGGGGAGCGGGGGAGGTCAGATCCTCTCAGGCCATGGTGGGGACTTGGCTTTTATTGCTGAGTGAGATGTGATGCCACTGGAAGACTGTGGACTGACCTGACTACGTTTTAACAGGACCACGAAGGTTGTATCAGGGACAAGGGTAGAAGCAGGAGCCAGGTTTGGAGGCTGAATAATAATCTGGGAGAGAGATGTTGGCGTTTGGCCCCAGGGCAGCAGTAGAGGCGTTGAGATGTGCTTAGACTCTGCAGACATCTTGGAGGCAGAATTGGCGAGATTTTCTGATGGTTGGGGTGCAGGTTGTAAGAAAGAGAGTCAAGGTTACTGTCAGTTTTTTGGGCCTGAGCAACAAAAAGGATGGAGTTGCTGCTTACTGAGAAGGAGAAGGCTGGTGGGCGGGTTGGGGGGAGGTTGTTGAGAGCGTTCAGGGCATGTTGAGTCTGAGATGCTCACTGGACATTCAGATGGAGAGTTGGAGAGATGGGATAAGAGTTCAGGAGAGAGTTTCTAGGCCAGAGAGAGAGAACATGTTAGTACCACAGGATCCAGCAGTCCTGCTTCTGGACATAGACCCAAGAGGATTGAAAGCAGGATCGTGAACAGATTTTTGTGCACCCATGCTCATAGCAGCACTCTTCACAATATACCAGAGATGCAAGCAACTCAGGTGTCTGTGGATGGAAGAACAGATAAACAAAATGTGGTATATACAGAGAACGGATTATTATTCAGCCTGAAAAAGGAAGGAGGTTCTGACACGTGCTCCAACATGGATGAACCTTGAGGACATTATGCTAAGTGAAATAATCCAGTCACAGAAAGATAAATACTGTATGAGTCCCCTTATACGAGGTATCTTAGGTAGTCAGAATCATAGAAACAGAAAGTGGAATGGTGCTTGCCAGGGGCTGGGGGATGGGGAGTGGGTACAACGTTTCAGTTCTGCAAGACAAAAGAAGTTCTAGAGATCTCTTTCACGGCAGTGTAAGTATACTTAACACTATTAAACTGTACCCTTAAAGATGGTCAAGATGACATATTTCATGTTACATGTTTTTTTACCACAATAAAACAAAAACATAATTAGTTCACCAAACTTGTTCACTAACAACATTATCATTGTTTTTGTGAGGAGGCCAAAAAAGACAGGAAGAAGCATCGTCTGCCCACACCTGGTCAGTGAGTCTGGACCCCCAGCGGCCCCCTAACAGTGGGGCATAAGCAAATACCCACAGGAACTGAGGGTCCTGTGCAGACTTTCTGGGGACACAGACTGGCCCGCCTGCCTCCCAGGCCCTGGGGGCAGCCACAGGTAGTACTGCCTGAGGCCTGACCCTTCTCTCCCTCCCCAGCCGCCATGGTGTGGACAGTGGGCATGGCCAAGTTGGACCCCTCCTCTCAGGGAGCCCTTCAGCTCCCCTACGACCCAGAGATGGGTGAGTATCAGGGGGCTGACAGCCTCTCATCATCGGGGGCGGCTTTTCACCACATCCAGCTCAGCCTGGCCTGGCCTCTGCGGGAAGCACAAGGGCCGGAGGGGCAGGTGGGAAGAGCAGTCCCCCCTGGACACGCACGCCCTGGGGATCGAGTGCAGTGGGACCGCGCTCCTCTGCCTCCGCCCCGTTCCTCTCCCTTCCCTTCCCTTGTGTGTGGACTAGAGAATCCTCTTTGGGTCGGGCAGGGTGTGGGGGGGTAGGGGGATGGTAAGGGCAGGGGAGCCCTGAGCTCAGAGAACCGTCTGACGGGCTGTCGTCTCTCTCCCTTGCTCCCTGCTCACATGACACCGGACACCCAGAAGAGGACTCCTGTGACAGTTTGGGGGAGCCCTCGTACCCTGAAGTCTTTGCGCCCCCCCTGCCTGGCTACCCGGGGGAGGAGCTGGAGGAGGAGGAGGAAAGTAAGGTGTCCCGACCGTCTGCGTGGGCCCGGGTGGGGCCCCTGAGGTCAGGGGAGGAGGGCGCGAGGGGAGGAGCTCCTTCCACATCAGAGACGGCTTCGCAAAGTCGAGGAGGAGCCTGCAAAGGCGCAGCCTTGTCGGCAGGCCACGGGGACTTCTACGCCCAGGCTGCACCTCGTGTGTGGCAGACACTGGTTGAGTACCAGCTGCGTGCCCACTCTGCGCTGGGGGGCGGTCGTACGGACGCAGCTCTGGGGGACGCAGCTACGCAGGCGTGGGCACTGACCGCCCTCCCCAGAGCCGGGAGGACCGTGAAGGAGAACACGGGGTGATGGGGAGCGCTGACGGGGCTCATGACCTGTTTCAAGGGGTCCGAGGAAGTCGCCTGAGGAAGTAACTTCTGAGCTGAGCTCCAGAGGCTGAGCCACTGGAACTCGGAGAGGGGGACGCACAGCGGGGGTGCGTTTCCAGCTGAGGGGACCTTGGGAGCAGAGACCCTGAGGCAGACGGCACGGTGAGTTAGAGCCAGTGAAGGCAGGACGCTGAGACCCGAGTGCAGAGATGGGGCAGGGAGGCAGGCAGGGACTTGAGGGGCCTTCTGGATCAAAACGGGGATCTGGTCTGTGTCCCGTGAGCGGTGGGAGCCGTGGGGGGTGGGGGAGGGTTTTGAGCTGCATGGGAGGAGGGGCATGAGGGAGAAGGGCAGGTTTGTGGCTGGCAGAGTGTGCACCTGCGTGGCTTGAGGACGTCCCCATGCAGCCATGGGGGACGCAGGCGTGGGCTCTGGGCTCAGAGGGCCGGCTGGGCTGGGCAGGTCAGCGCCAACAGCACGGCTCCGTGATGGGACTGACAGTGGAGCTGGGGTGGAGACTCCCCCAGGCAGAGCCCCGGGTGTTTGCGGGCAGAAGGAGCTGGTGTGGAAGGCCGTCCTGAAGACACACCCAAAGACGTTCTAACATATGGCTGTGTTCCCAAGGGGATTAAAATAGCCATTCCATCAGCACACGTTTCTGTACCACCTACTATGTGCCGGGTGGCACGTGGGAACAGGGAGGTGCTGCAGGATTAAAACAGCCTCTGCCCTTGAGAAGTTCCCCGTGGGAGCAGCCCAGGTGGGGGAGGTGAGGTATAAAGTACTCAGGGCAGACCCGGGGAAGAAGATGATGCCGAGGTGGGCCTGGAAGGACAAGTCGGTCACCCGGCAGACAGGCTGCAGCCCAGGCCTGGCACTGAGCCCCCGGAGTCAGCGCGGATCCCACCGGGGCACAGTCCACAAGGCCACCCTCGCTTCACACGCCAGCCCCAAGTCCTGGGGGTCTCCAGGCCACCCGCACTTCTGACCGACTGGCTACAGATCTGGGGGTTCCCACAACCCCCCCAGGTTGGAAAAGTTGCTAGAACGACTCGCTGAACTCGGGAAAGTACTAAACTTAGAATTACAGTTTTAGTATAAAGGATACAAATCAGGACCAGCCAGATGAAGAGCCACATTGCTCGCGGGACTGGACTTCATCTCCAGGCTCCCTCTTCTCCCCAGAGGTTGGTCTGGCCCAGAGTCCCAGCCCCCTTATCACATAACCACGTGGTCTTTCTGGAGACCAGCGCCATCCTGATCCCCTCATTTGCATAAATGATCCAAGGGGCTCCTGAATGACAGACACTTCTGTTACTGGGGAAATTCCAAGGATTTGGTCTCCCTCCTGGAACCAGGGACGAAGGCCAGTTAGATTCTTTGTTACACAGCAGCATTGGCAAAGGCTCAGATGAGAGAGGAGGAGGCCTTCCGGGAGCTCGGGGCAGTTTGGTGGCCCAGGCAGCTGGGGGCCGGACCTGCAAGGGTGCACAGCACTCACAGGAGCTCGAACTTCATCCTGCAGCCTGTGGGGAACCGTTAGTGGTTTGCTGCAGGGAATTGAAGTGAGCAGAGTTGCATCCCAGACAGATCCCGGGCAGCAGCAAGGGACACAGACTGCTGGGGGACCAGGTGAGGGAAGAGTCATGAGGGCCCAGCTCAGGCAGCAGGCTGAGAGGAGGCGGTGCTACCACGTACCTGGGACGCACTGACAGGACTTGGCTGGGCAAGGGATGGGCAGGGAGGCATGGAGGGTGATGGGGGAAGGTGGGAGGCTCTGCAGGACATCAGATGGAGACGCCACGGACACACGAAGGGGAGCGATGCTCGAGAAGGTCAGGGTTGGAGACCCCAGTTGGAGTCACCAGGATATACATGTCGTCAGAACTGCGGGTCCCCAGAAGGTACCCAGGGAAGGTGTAGGGTCAGAATGGAGAGCGAGAGGGACAGCGTGGGCGACGTTTACGGGATGAAGGGAAGGGCGCTTGTGGAGGACCCCGGGGAGTAGCCAGCCAGGAGACAGGGCGCTGAGACAGGTAGCGTGAGGGTGTCCATGGGGGCCGGGCGGTGGCCTGGCCAGAGCACATTGGCTGGGGGACATGGGACCTGCCGCCACAGATCTCTGAAGTGCCTGGGAGGTGAGCGCAGTTCCTTTGAGAAACAACTGATTGAAAAAGAAGAGAGAAGGGAGGGGAGAGGGCAGGCAGAGCAGGGAAGCAGGAGTGGGGGTAGCGGCGAGAGGAGGCACGGCAAGAGAAGTCACCTCTGTAAGGTGACGAAACTGGAGTGTTTGCTCTGTGCCGAGGCAGGAGCCAAAGTGAGGAAACTGAAGTCAGAGAAGAGGGGCCGTGGAGGAAGGGACAGACCGAGGTGAGGGGCCTCTTGCTTGGAGCCCCGAAGGGAGGCGAGGGGGGCAGACGGGACAGAGCATGTTTCCTTGATGCAGACCTCCTCAATTCAAGTCTGTTTCTTAAACATTTTTATTGTCTGTGATGAATAAAATTATCCTATAAACAAGCGTACAGGGCAGTTGTACGAAAGGAAACAAATGAAAGCATTCTAGAAGCTCTTGTTTCCTTATCAGTAATGGATACGCTAGTTACAAATTATGTTTACTTATTTTTTTAATTAAAGTTTAGTTGATTTACAATGTACATTTACGTACTTTTAAGGGACATGAGTCTCCAGAGAACCTCAGGTATTGTACATGTTCTTGAAAGTAGTGAAATTAAATTTCCTAAAAAGCATTTATAATTCAAACTGAGCACTCAGTTGGGTAGCCTCCCATCAGCCCCAGGCAATGCATTTTATTCACTCTTGTCTTAACCAAGTGCCAAAGCACCAGTTTGTTTGTTTTTTGTGTTTTTTTGCGGTATGCGGGCCTCTCACTGCTGTGGCCTCTCCCGTTGCGGAGCACAGGCTCCGGATGCGCAGGCTTAGCGGCCATGGCTCACGGGCCCAGCTGCTCCGTGGCATGTGGGATCTTCCCGGACCGGGGCACGAACTCGTGTCCCCTGCATCGGCAGGCGGACTCTCAACCGCTGCGCCACCAGGGAAGCCCGCCAAGCACCAGTTTTACTTGAGTTATCAGAAATGCTGGCTTTGCACAGCCCAGAATGCAAGTCACTCAGACTACAGGTTCCCCCTTTTTCCCACTGGCTGCTGTTCTTTCAAGGCAGCCAGTCCTTGTCCCAGAGTCCAGGTTAGGTGAGCTGGGCAGTCACACTACCCCATCTGCCCTCTGCATTCCTCAGGACTCTGGCCCCTGGGCTGGGCAGAGAACCTGGGCTGTTTGGCTGAGGTCAGCCTTCTCTGCCGCTTCCTCCTGGGGCTTCCGAGACCTATGGGTTCCCTCTGTCTCCACCACACAGGGGGCGTGAAGCTCGGCCTCGGAGACTTCATCTTCTACAGCGTGCTGGTGGGCAAGGCGGCAGCCACGGGCAGTGGGGACTGGAACACCACGCTGGCCTGCTTTGTGGCCATCCTCATCGTGAGTGGGCTGGGGGATGCTCCCCGCCCAGCCCTGGGCAGTGGGGCCCCTGAGGGTCTGTCTGGTGGGGGGCCCAGGAACCCAGGGGAATTTTCAGGTGCTGTTATCCCTTGGAGGGGCTGGGCAGGGTTGCCAAGAAGATCCTCAAGATGAGACCGAGGTTTACAGGAGGTTCTGGTCATCAACAGATGCAGGCACAGCACAGGGGAGCAGTGACCAGGGGCTCTGACATTACCGAGCTTGTGCACCGGGTGCCAAGGTCTTGGCTAGCTCTGTGCATCTGTCTCACGGCACCTGCGAGGCAGGGTTGGTGACCTGAGATTTACAGAAGACGGAATAGGTTGAGGGCCTGGCCCCTGGGCACAAAGCTGTGAGGGCCGAGCTGCGATTTGAACTCGAGTCTCTGAAGCCAGGGCTGTGTGTTTTCCCTCCATGCTACCCAGGCACCATGGGGTTCTGAAGCCCCATGGGATCTCCTGGGACTTGAGACGGGGGCCCATCACTTTGAACCCCAGCAGTGAAATTTGGAGACCTGTATGTCACTTAACGTGGCCAGACACACATGGTGGGGAAGCGTCTTACGGTGATTGGAGAGGTGGAGGCTCTGAACGGTGCATACTCGGTGTTCTGCCTGGTGAACCTGGGTGGCACGTGGCACATTAGGGCCGAGGCTCCAGTCCTGCAGACATTCTGTATTTGCCCAGTGTGTGTCAGGGATGCGGTAGTGAACTCCCAGGCTCCTCCACTTCCAGATTGTCTGCCCTGAATTCCTGCTCTCCCCAGGGATAGGGCAGGCACTCTGGTTTCCTGTCCCCACCCTGGACCACTGCCTGCATTGACTGGGCTGGGAACAGGATAGGCAGCCACTGGGCCTGCTCCCCAGGGCGGGGTCACGTGGCATCTTGGTTCCCTTGGTGTCCGCTGCTGAGAACATTGCTGGCTTTCAGTCCAGCCCGTCCAATTCTTGTATAAATATACGTCCCCTTGGGGAAAGCTCCTCACCCTCCAGCAGCCAGCCAGGGGAGGTAGTCTGGTAGTGGCATCCCCGTTCTAGGGGTCAGGAGGCCTGCTTTCTGGTTCACCCGTCCATGTGCAGGGCGTTGCTACGGGGTGAGAACTCCTGCCCTCAGGCACCTCACAGAGCCGTTGAGGGGACCAGGGAAGATGACGGGGTGTCCAGGGCTCCTGAACCCAGGGACTGTACCATCACTGACTGCTCTCCGTCCCCCGTCCACACCCGTGGTCACCACCAACCCCCTCGCCTTTGTGTCCTGCAGGGTTTGTGTCTGACCCTCCTGCTGCTCGCCGTGTTCAAGAAAGCGTTGCCCGCCCTCCCCATCTCCATCACGTTCGGGCTAATCTTCTACTTCTCCACAGACAACCTGGTACGGCCTTTCATGGACACCCTGGCCTCCCATCAGCTCTACATCTGAGGGGAAGCCTGGGCACCGTGGCCTGGAAGCTGGAAGAAACGGTAACTGGATGCAGTTGTGCAGTTGTACACTCTAGTGCCATATATTTTTAAGACTTTTCTTTCCTTAAAAAAAAAAAAGCGGGGAGAGAGTAAAAAAGTGTCGTGTTTACTTTGTGAAGAGGAAGGACCAGCTTTTTGGTGCTGGTTGTTTTGTCACCAGGCCGTGGCTCACCCCTTCGTGAGCATTTGCTTCACCGGCAGGAGACGCGGGAAATCGGTCCAGAGGAGCTGAGGAAGGTTCTGAGACGTGGGAGGGGCTTGGGGAAGGCCCCTGCTCTCGCCCCACAGCCTGGAGTCCTCTGAGGGCCTAGCCGGAGGACGGGGCGCGTATATTCGGGACCGGGAGGTCATGCCTGGGACGGCATGTAGCGCCTGGTCGCTCTGGCCGGAGAGGAAAAGCCAATTTTCTCTGCAAGGAATGTTCACCAACGCTTTGTCTATGATGCTGTCATCATTTTATTACCTTTAGAGTCCTTGTTAAAAGCAGTTACTGCTGGGAAGTGTCTTAATATCAATAAATAGACGAATCCTGTTGCAGTGTTGGGGTTTGGTCTGGGCCCCTCTCCCGGCATCCTGGGATAACATGCCCTGGGCGCAGAAGGGAAGAGATTTGCCTAGTTGTGAGGAGAGAGGCTTAACTGCCCCCATCTCTGCGATCGTTTCTTTAACTAGTTTCCTAAGCAGAGGCGCTCACAGACTCCTGAGACCCACTGTCTGACAGCTGGGCGGGTACCCGGCTGGCTGTCTTCAGAAACACTGCAAGGCTGTCGCCAAAACACAGAGCGAGAGAGCAGGGCTGGTCCCCAACAGAAGCAGCCCAGCGGGGGCCAGGTGGGAGCCCAGGAGCCTGCTCTCCTTTCCTTCTATGGCCATGTCTCTGGGCACTGCGGGGGGTGGGAGGTGGGCAGATGGGTTTTTCCTTTGTTTCTCTACATGTTTCACGGGCTGCAAAGAGAACCTCAGCCTCCAGACCGGAATTTGAGCCCCTTGAGGCCTTGCAGAGCAGGCCGCTGGGCCCGCAGGGAGCGCGGCTGTCAGACACCCGAGAAACGCAGGAGCCGTGGAGCCGGCTGGGTATCACAAGGAGATGAAAAAATCGTGCACTTTGGTGTCTGACTTAGCTTCCTTTTCCCCTGGGCTGTTTGTAGAAGAGCCGAGGGAGGCAGGCGTGGAAGCCGGGAGGCCAGCGTGCTTGGCCTGGGGGTGGCAGTTCAGTCCGGACAGCTGTCACTGGCTTGTGACTGACTCGCAGGTGACACCCAAGGTGGCGGCATCACAGCCTCGAAAGCCAAAGGTAGGGAGAATTTTAAGACGATGAGAGCTAGGCCGTGATAGTAAAAGCTCCCTGGAGATTAAAGGGGAAGAAAAACTGGGAAAAACTCATTCAGTTTGGCAAGTAGGGCAACGTTTATCTTTGAAAGAGGAGTCTCAGGGTGGGACTTCCAAAGAGGAGATCTGACAAGTGTTTTGACTTGTTAGGCTTAAAAGGCCTTTGTCAAAGGCCTGACCAGGGTGCTGAGGGTGGAGCCTCACTTAGAGGTAAAAGCAGAAGGTAGAGATGGACAGTGAAGGGAGGAGAGGTGAACGGTGCCCTGATTAGGTGTTAAGATTAATATGAAGACTGGGAAGGAACAAATGTGAGAAGGCGAAAGGGCAAGAACCACTGGTGAGAAAACAAAGATGCTTGAGGAGACTCTGCAGGCGGAAGCGTGGTCCCTGAGTCGCTGGGGGACTGGGGAACCCAGAACCCAAGTGGAGGAGAGGAAAAAAGAGGATGAGAAAAGGTAATTCAGGCATGCTGAGAAGGACAGAGAAGTGGTATGCAAACACCTCTGTCCCCCACCTTGTAACCAATCAATTAATCTTAGTATTTTTTCCATATTCCCTCCAGATTTGTCTGTACAAATAAAACCTTACAGTTCTGCAGTGCTATTTGTATTGTGCCCCAATTGTATTTACTCCCTTCCACTGTCCTGAAGTCAGCTTGTGTCCTTCCCATCCACGTTTACTTTAGTTTTGCACGTTGGCATGTTTTCTTAAACTTTATAGAAATGGTATCATACTGTACATACCTGACATTTAAAAAATGTTTAATATTACATTCCAAGACACCCATGTATGCAGATGAAGCTCTGGTCCTTTGTCTTAACTATCGTTTAGTATTGCACTGCGTGACATTCCGCTGTTTATGTGTGATGTTATTGATGGACACTCCAGGTTTTTGCAGGGTTTCTGTGTTAGAACTACTGCAATGAGCATCCTGCTTTGTTAATTTGGGTGCGTACCAGCAGTCCTCTCACTGACCGGATGTTCCCACTTGCTTCCCAAGCACTTGCATCCCTTGATCCTCCCATCAGCCATCTGAGAGTTCCCCCTTTTCCCCAGCTCTGCCAACACTTGGCATTATCAAAGTTTTCACTTTTGCTAATTGGGTAGGTGTTATCTCCTGAGGTTTGAGTTTGCAATGAAGTTAAGCATCTTCTCACGTTTTGACTGCGTGGATTCCCTCACCTTTTTTTTTTTTTTCCTGCTGTGCTGCGCGGCTTGTGGGATCTTAGTTTCCCCAACCAGGGATGGAACCTGGGCCCTTGGCAGTGAGAGCTGGGAGTCCTAACCACTGGACCACCAGAGAATTCCCCAGATTCCCTTGTTTTTTATCCTTTGCCCAGTTTTTATTTGGATGCAGACTTTTACTTACAGATAGTTACGCCTCGAGATATATATTCTGGAGCGATGCTAATCTTTGGTCAATTATATGCATTTCAAGTATCTTTCTTAGGCTGTGGCTTGTCTTACCTATCCTCCCTTTGGAGTCTTCTGTGATGCCAAAGTAATTTTTAAATGCTAGTGTTGTTAAATGTAGCAGTCTTTCACCTCTATGGCTTATACCTTTGAGTGGTTAAGAGATCCTTCCCTACCCTCAAGTTTTTCTAAAAGCTTAAATTTTTATTTTCGTATTAAGATTTTTAATGCAT